CCCTCCCAGTCCCCTCCCAGTCCCTCCCAGTCTCTCCCAGTCCCCTCCCAGTATAACCCAGTCCCTCCCAATCCCCTCCCAGTATAACCCAGTCTCTCCCAGTCCCTCCCACTCCCCTCCCAGTCCCCTCCCAATCCCTCCCAGTCCCTCCCAGTCCCCTCCCAGTTCCCCTCCCTGTCCCTCCCAGTTCCCTCCCAGTTCCCTCCCACTCCCCTCCCAGTCCCTCCCAGTCCCTCCCATTCCCCTCCCAGTCCCTTCCCAGTGCCCTCCACTTTCCTCCCAATCCCCTCCCAGTCCCTCCCAATCCCCTCCCAGTATAACCCAGTCCCTCCCAGTCCCTCCCAGTCCCTCCCAGTCACCTTGGCCGATGCCGCCAGCGCCAGGAGGGCGGGGCCAGCGCTCAGCCAATGGGGCACCAGGATCTCCAGGACCAGGGCGACGTCATTGAGCAGATCGGCCGCCAGCCTGGGGGGGCGGGGCCAGGCCAAACATGGCGTCCGGGGGGCGGGGCCAGGCCAAACATGGCGTCCGGGGGGCGGGGTCAGATAAAAACATGGCGCCCAGAGGGCGGAGCTTAGGGAAGGGGCGTGGCTTGACTGCATAGATGATACTGAAGGGGGTGTGGCTTGGGGAAGGGGCGTGGCTCGACCCTATAGATGATACTGGAGAGGGCGTGGCCTGATGTCGGATATGGCAAGGAAGAGGCGGGGCTTAGTGGGGAGGGGCGTGGCCTGATCCCGGAACGAAAAAGGGAAATGGGCGGGGCTTATGGAGAAGGGGTGTGGCCTGATACCAAATATTACAGGAGAAATGGGCGGGGCTTATGGAGGAGGGGGCGTGGTCTGATCCCGGATATGACAGGAAAGGGCGGGGTTTCTGGAAAAGGGGTGTGGTCTGATCCCGAAAGTGACAGAAGAAATGGGCGGGGCTTATGGAGGAGGGGCGTGGCCTGATCCCGGAAGTTACAGGGAGAGTGGGCGGGGTTTATTGAGGAGGGGGCGTGGCCTCACCGCCACTGTTTGGCCTCACAGTCCAG